ATATGTGGACATTCCCTTGAAAAAATAAATATAGTACATAGCTTTTTGATTGAAAGGAGCAGTAGCTTGGTGGACTAAAATCATACAAACTCGTTAATGGGAAGGACACAATCACATAAAGAATTTGATTCGAGTGAAGCAATTGTTGAGGATACACTTCTTATCTTCCAATTATGAACAAATATTATACTTATAATACCAACACTTTACATAGAAACCAAATTGTTAGCGCTTACATTAAGGAATTTTACTCTTCAGTGCAAGAAACAACGTTAACTAAAAAGACAAACAATTTGTCACTCGCTACATGGATGATCGAAAAGAGTCCATACAAGATAAAATAGAGATAAATACCGTTTCTTTGCTATACCAAGTGGTGAACTTGACTATAAAGTAAAGTTGAAATAGTCATGCACAGCATGGAACACCTCCAAGCACAGTAACTTATGTGAATAACTATGGGATAACTACAGGAGTAATAATCCTAATTCCAATATGAGTGCCAAATAGAGCTCCCTTCAAACCCAATCACTAGGTACCATAGCTCCAGCTCCTGTGCACACCAGATTGATAGGAAAAAACTAGAGCCAACCATGACAATATATACTACTGATCAGATCATCGAAATATATTTTTTTGTTTTCAACCAGGTCATAGGTCCAATGAGTGTCCAAATAAGAAGCAATTACAACTTATGGATGGAGAAGGTGAGGAAAAGAAATAAAATTTGCTTTTGCTTGTGGAAGAAGAGTGTGAAAATGAGGCGAGAGATGATGAAGAATTTCTTTCTAATATACTCGAGAAGTGTAAAAACCCAAAATTTTGAAAATGAAAATTTTGAATTTTTGTTTGAACTGGAGCACAATGACAGTAATCTTTTTAGCGCTGCGACGTTAGGCCTAGAGTGCAGCGGTGCGAGAAAATGTCACCGCTACATTAAAATCTATGTTTGTACAACAATTCTGGATTTGACATGCAGCACTACCCATTAAAAATTATTTTTATATAATATTTTTCCACTCATCATCTCTCATTTCCCCCTACCACCATCAGCTTGCTGAACAAGGGAGAGAAGGGGAGAAGGGAGGAGAGAGAAAGGGAGAAAGCCGCATTTTGACCACCGAATCATTTCGCCGCTTTTACGAAAATTTCTTAGATTATAGTAGGTGATTTTAATCCTATCTTTGTTTTAAAAGATTTTGATTTTGACAGTTAAATTTTCCTTAAAACTAATTTTACTGTATTTTCCCTGAATTTATTGAACTTTTATCACATAACTTTTGTAAGTTATCATGCGAACTATCATGGATATTTTTACTACAATATTTATAAATTTCACCAGATAAAATAAAAGTTATTGAATTTTGTATGACTTATATTGTACATAAATTGAGTATTTTTATTTAAGCATACTGTTAATAGAAGCATTCAAAAGAAAAATAGGTATATGATTCGGTAATAGATGATCGTTATTACTGTTATAATAATTTGTGTGAAAAAGTAAAAGTTGATTTCACTAACATTGGCTGGAGACTAACTGACTTGTGCATGACGGTGGTTCGATAAGCTTTCCTTTAAATAGTGTGGTTTGGTGTTATCCTCTACTGATTCACGTGATTCACTGATTCGGAGTTGTAAGGAGACAATTACTGTATTGATCATCAAAGTGTGACTCTTTACTGAGTAAACGAGATACTGATACAGACTACTGCTTACTGGAAAAACACTACTTAAACCAAGACTTCTTACTTAATTAGTGTGACAATTGAAATGTAAGTTATTGATTCATTGTTACTGCTACTGTATGATTTTACTGTTATTATTTGCTGATTTATTGTCATTGTACGTATTTACTATTACCGCATAGCTTTGGTATTACTGCCACCGATTTTACTAATGACACTATACTAATACTGTTATCGATACAGATATCGATACTATTTGATACTACTGTTGATTGACTGTGTTAATATTGAGCATGTGATTAAGATATTGATTTTATATTAATATAGAATAACTAACTGGATAACATGTGTATATCATTACAAAGTTTTATTATATTGATATGATTCTGATAGTCCTTATTGATGATTTGATTTTATCACTTTATACAATTTCATTACTAATTAATAGTACTGAGAAGACAAATGCTTTATCGATTCGACACCCGTTTTGGTTTAAAGGTTTCCTCACCATACTATATTACTAGCTTCCGTACTATATTGTTTTATTAGCTACAGACTTTACTGCTACTGTATGTGTGTTTTACTATTTCTGCACTGATTTCCTAATAATATGATTATTACTGCTATAAATTGACTAACAACGTCAATATTATTTTTTTATCATGCTTTGAGTTAATTGTAGGAATGGAAGAATTGTTGAGGTTTTTAGTTCATTATACATGGTTAAATGATTTCAATTCAGGGCAATAGAGCAGGAGTGTGAAATTGATCATGATCCTTCAAATTCAGGTTCTTGTTATTGTAGCTATTTTTTTGTACTCATGATAATATAGTAATTATATAATTGTATAAATCTTGAATAGTGTACATGATTTTTTGGGAGATAAATACAAATGTATATATTGATATTTTGATCGATAGTTTTATTTCCGCTAATATTTATATAGATAAAAGAATTAAGTAGCTCTGATTGTTGTATATTAAAAAAATAAAAGAATAATTATTCCCAATTAGATTCTTGGGCATCACAAAAAGACTCCAAAGGTTTCATTTGAGTTTTAAAATTGTGAACATGGAGTTTAATTTAATAGAAATAGATCTATTGGTGGGATTGTGAAATCAGGTGATCAATCATTAAGAAGAGTGCATGTTTTAGATAAATTGGGTCTATTATTCAAAGCAATGGTGAAATAGAAAGGGATGTTATTACTAGAATTCAAGTTGGATGGCTAAAGTGGAGGAATGCATCAGGCCTGCAGTGTGATAGAAAAGTAGCCCTCAAATTTAAGGAAAAATCATATAAAATGGTTGTGAGACTTGCAATACTTTATAGCGCAAAATATTAGACATTAAAAGAGAAGTATAAATTTAAGTATAGTATTACAGAGATGAGGATGCTAAGGTGGATGAGTGGCTTTACACTAAGAGATAGAATGCAAAATGAGTATATACAAGAAAATGTTGTAGTTTCAATGTTAGATAAGATTAGAGTGAGTTGCCTTAGATGGTTTAATTATATAAAACGCCAGCCTTTTGATGATCTTGTTAGGAGAGTAAATGTATTAAATCTGACCTATGTTAAAAAAGGTAAAGGCAGACATAAAAAAAAATTATTAGAAAGTATTAAAAATTACCTTTGTTATTAGATTTAAATAAGAATTTAACTCTTAATATGACACATGGATAACAAGATTCATTTAGTCAACCCCATATAGTGGGATAAAAGCTTGTTGTTGATGTGTACTTAAGAAGATTCTAATTGCACCAAGATAGCCGATGAAAACTCAACGACAATCCATTTTATGCACCAAATGTACCATCAATAGGAAGGTTTGTCAGTTGCTAACTAATAATGGGTGTACGAAGAATATGGTCTCGCAAAAGGGAGCTAAGACCTTGCAACTTCAAACTATCAAACAACCACATCCATAGAGGATTAGCTGGGCAAAAAAGGAATTGAGTGTTGGTTATTGATATGTGCAATTTTTCTTTTTCCATAGGCAAACATTTTAAATACAAAGTGTTGTGAGACGTATTGGACATCTAATTATTATGCCAACTTGTTATGGGTGGCCTTGGCAATTCTACATTAGAGCATGTTACGAATATTAGGCAAATTCATGTCTTTTGAGTGGTAAGTGAAGAAGATATGTCTACTTCCGTCACCAAAGTTGACATGATTCCCCATAGTTGAGAAGGCTAAATTCAATAGTGTGTTTGAATTCGAGCTCCTCATCAAATACAAGAGCAATCCCAACTCTTTGTTATAGTATCAAATGAATAGCCACAACAAAATGAAATTAAGGCACCCAATGAGATCCAAGAATTATTACAAAAATTTAAGGATGCTTAGCCATACAAGCTACTCAAACAATTACCTCCAATTAGGGGTGTAAGTGAGCCGAGCCGGCTCGAACTCGACTCCTTAACGAGCTCGCGAGCCGAGCTTATCGAGCTTCGAGCTCGAGCTTACAATCGAGCTCGTATGATAAACGAGCTCGAATTCGAGCTCAACCCGACTCGACTCGAAAGCTTATCAAGCTACTCGATATATATATATATATATATTTATAGAACAATTTATTTTTTATGCCAACTTTAATATATTATTAGATAAGTAGACAAAAATTTATCATTTTGATTTTACGCAATTTTCTCATTTTGAAGTTTACGCCTCAAAATGCTTTGAGGCATATGCCTTGCCTCACGAATGAAAAACGCCTCAATACCCTATTATGCAATTTTAAACATTGGCATTACGTATCGGAGCGCCCTAATACTGAATGACAGAAAGTGAAGCACCACAGCTGTCTAGATACGACGCTGTGGTGGAGCAAGATAGAGGTTCAAACTTCGCAGTGCTGCAAGACGAATAGGATGATTTTCTTTCTTGTTTTTCTGAAGGGTTGCATCCCTTCGGTTATTTACTTAGTTTTCTCTTATATTTTGAGTGTGTAAACATTGAGAACGGTGTATGTGAGAAGAGAAACAAGGAGAGAGCGAGAGAGAAGATAGATTTGTACTTATTTATTCCAATTTTCATAGTGGATTTCTTGGTGCGGTGTGACTTCGTGATTTTTTCCTTAATTTGGGTTTTTCCACGTTAACGTTAAATCTTGGTGTCCTTTCCTTTCCGTTACTTTTACTTTCTTGTTTGTTTCATCCCAGCGTTTTACTCTCTCGTCCCCAACACATCAATCTCTGAAAACCAGATAATGCCACAGAAATTCAGCAGACTATAAACATAAGAAAGATTCTCGACTTAACCTATAGAATGTAGAAAAAAAAAAAAAACAAGGCGAAATTACAGCTCACCAGAGAAAGAAATGCACACCAAGCTTGACAATCAGCGAATGATCGTATAACCCTAGGCACTCGTTCATAGCAAGCTTCCTCATCTCCAAATCCACCCCCGAGCCAGTCAGCCACCCATCAAACACCCCGCGCTCAAGAAGAAACTGGATTCTCCTCATCGTCATCTCTCTCTGCTGCTCCATCGATTGATTGTAATCCGGAACTACAAACACCCGGTTTCCGCCTCGCCGTCGCGGGCAGAACAGCGAGCTCTCTTCCATGAGCCGGAAAAGCCAATCCCTCGCCTCCACGTCATGCCCGTCCAAGAGCAGCCGCAATTCCCTAGTTTCGAAACTCACCTTCTCGGAGCTCTCCGGCGGCGAATAACTAATACAAGGCGTTAGCACGAGCGGCGGCGACCCGTACCCCGGAGCCTCGCCGAGATGCCGGCTGATGATGGCGGCCCAACGAGAGACACGCTCGGAAGCAGAAGAGGAGGCCGAGAGGTCCATCTCCAAATTGCTGGGGCTACTATGCCGGAAAATCGGAAGCTAGAAGAACAAAGGCAAGTCCGGCGTTGAACAGAGACGCGGTTTTTTTATTGATTCTTAAAGCAAGCTGTTCAGAATTAAATTTAAAAATTTGTATTAAAAGCTGCTTTAAGAAGCATAAAAAAATTATCCTAAAAATAGCTTTATATAAAAATTAAAAATAAAAAAAAAATTGTTTTAAGAAGCAATATAAAAAAACTGTACGTCTTTCTTTCTGCTTCTTAAGACTGATGACTAGTATAAAAATTAAAATTTTTTACTAAAATGTTGCGTTAAGAACCAATAAGAAAGCCGTCTTAGTTTTGGAGGTAGAAGAACAAAAAAAATTAAGCTAATAAATAGTTTCAGCACACTAAATTCTGAAAATTATGTTTTTTTTTTAATTTACATAAAATACAATTTTATTTTATTTTATTTATATATCTAAAATATAAAACATTAATATTACATGTGTACCACCTATATACAATTTTAATATTATATATACAACTCTTTTATTTTATTCCTATCACTCCTATCATCCTTTAAACTTTAATATTTCATTTCATGCACACATATTTATTTTATGTGCGGTAGATATGTAATATTAATTGTTAAATATGTAAATAGCATGAAATATAGTGGCATGGATGTAAATCCCTTTTTTGGGTACGTTTAAGCCAATTAACACGTGTTTAAAAAATTGATTAGCAGCCTAAAATCAAACTTGTTCATTGAGTTTGTGTTTGATTTGTGGAGATTGAGATTTAATTTTAATTTTAAATAATTAGTCGAATTTATTTCTTTTGTAGGGAGCGAAATAAATATTAAAATTAGCAGGAGTAGAAAATATATAAAATTTAAAAAGAAGGGAACTAATTAAATTTTTGAACCGCATTTAAAATGTGCAAATTTATTTGAAGAATTCGCGCTTTTTTATATTACATATCTATATGTTCCTTCTGCAAATTTATTTTTTTTAAACCGCTTCTTCTAAATTTCGGCAATTTATTTTAATTTCAAATATATATCTGATATGTCATCCAAAAATTGTCGGGCATGAATCTCGAGGCAAACATTAAGTTGGAAATTTCAAAAATTAAATCTGGGATAATCTGAACTCCGATTTAAACAAACTTACAGTCGAACTGAGCGTCTCGGAAATACGACCCAATGACACCAAATTCAACTCGATCTGAGCTTAAATGAGTCCAAATCAATGACCCAAAGCGCTGTTGGAAGGTTCAAATCACAATTTGAGTTATCAAACAGTTTCTAAACATGACGTGCTTATAGTCGAATCGAGCAGCTTGACGAGACGAATCCAAAGAGCCCAAGATCGTCAAATTCCGACATCATTAAGGCCTTCCAATATCTAACGAACGGTACACGACCAAGGGATTCAATATCGGTCGTCCATTCAAACCACTCTCAATTCGCCCCTGATCTTCCTCTTATTTACTGGAAATGTCGCTCTTAGAAAACTATAAATAACCCCTCATTTCTCTTAAGAGGGGATCAAAGACCCAAACAAGAAGAGAAGAATGAGAAGAGAATAGAAGAAGGATAGGAGGGAAGAAACTCCTCCTCGACCACCGCCGTCAAAATTTTGCTCGACTTCACGAGACACCAGAATTCTGCCTGACTTCCAAATGATGCCGGAATTCCGCCCGACTTTCCAAGCGACGTCGAAATTCTGCCCGACCTCCAAGTGACACCTGAATTTCACCCGACCTCCGAGTGACTTCGAAATTCTGCCCGACTTCCAAATGATGCCAGAATTCCGCCCGACTTTCCAAGTGACGTCGGAATTTCGCCCGACCTCCAAGTGACGCCGAAATTTCGCCCGACTTCCAAGTGACACTGGAATTCCGCTCGACCTCCAAGTGACGTCGGAGTTTCACCCGAACACCAAGTAACGCCGGAGTTCTGCCCAAATACCATCTACCGCCGTAGTTCTCCTCAGCTGCCAACTTACGTCAGACTTCTTCCCGACGCCGAGCCTCTGCTCATCGCCAAGTTTTTACCCGACGCCGAACTTCTCCATATTGTCGGATTTTTACCGGATATATATCTGATGTTGGATTTATGTCCATTGATGGACTTCTACCGAACGCCTTCATTATGACCTCTATCATCAGACAACAATCCTTCCAACCTTCGTCGCCCGCCGACTACGGTCCTTTTGACTTACGTTGCTCACAGACTACAGTCCTTTCGACCCCAGTCGCCCGCCAACTACAATACTTTTGACTTACGTCGCCCACCGACTACAATCCTTCAGACCAAACAAACACATCATCAGCGCTCTTTGTATTCTCATCATGTAATGTATTTTATAAGATGTTCATCAAGCTAAAGTCTTCCCCCAATGAAGGGCCTCATTTGTAATCAATTGCAATACTAGGTTTATTTTTTTATTTTATCGTATTTCAATTTTATTTTGATTGTACTTAAAATACAAATATATTGATTTTTTTTTTAATAATAAATATATCTCATTAGTTTTTTTTTTTATAAAAAAAAGCGGATAACTTTGGAACTCTGATTTTTTTTTTTTTTTGGGACATTTAGGCCATTTAAGGCAAACTCACACACACAACGAATACACATGGACTCGAACCTTGGACCTCTTAGTTGAAAGCCTAAGCTCTCAACCAATAGGCCAAGGAGAGTTGTGTGAACTCTGATTTTTGTTTTGTGGAAATTTGAATTTGGGGAATTGTGAAGTTGTTAGGTATTTCATTTACATTTTTACCATTCAAATAAATAAAAAATAAGTAAGAAAGGTTAATAGAGGCCGCAAGCGGGCGGCGTTGAATTTTGACCGTTTACGCGTTTAAGGGGATTAGTTTTGTTAATTCATTATTTTTTGTTTTATTTAGGGCGTTTTTTTTTTTTGTTTGTTATTTTAATTTATTTTGATTTTGGTTTAAAATAAATGTATAATTGATTGTATTTTTTGTTTGTTTTAATAATAGATATATCTAATGTGTGTTTTTTGAAATTTATGAAGGCAAGCCAATTTATTTCAATAAAAAGAAAATTAAGCTTCTTATGAAACATTTAATATTTCATAAAAAAAAGTCATTTTACTTATGTGCAAATAAAACAAGAATTTATTTTTTTATAATAAATACTTTATCCAAGAGAAATGAAATCTTTTATTAGCATTTTATATTGTTAAAAATTATTATCGTGTCAGAACATTTGCGGTGATAGAGATATTTTTTTTTATGTTTCAATTTTGTGCGAAGATCTAATAATCATTCAAACAAAAGAAGAATACAATGGATGTCTGAAAATTTTGAAAGGGGATAAAAACAATGGAACATGGCCCAATGAAGTTGATTTCACTAGTGTTTGTCATCTGTTACGAATATTGCCCTTCCTCATCAATGGGGAGGACATTGATATAGTATAGAATACATAAACTATATAAAATAGATTTAATGGTGGGAGTTCGAAAGTTTCATTACATGGAGCTATCTTGGAAAGATTATTTGTTGTTTGTTTGATCATTTTTTTTAATCGAGGGGAGAATTTAAATTAAAAGTCTAGCATAAGTTTTGGTGCTGATGTCGAGATTCATGGTTAATGTTCATGGTGTGCATTAACCATATAACAAAGGGTGTCAACGCTATTGGAAACAATAGACGTTAAAGTTAGTGAGAATTAGTGTTGTTTGGCGATAATAATTTAATATGTGATGAAACAATGGTGGTTGAAGGATCGTAGTCAAACTACGGTGGTTTGTGGGCCTTGTTCGAGAGATGGTGGTTTGGGGATTGTATTCGAGATACCATAATTTTAGGATCATAGTCAAGTGACAATGGTCGAAGACAATATTTGATTGACGGTGGTCCAAGGATTGTAGTCTGACAATGATGGTCTAATAACCTTAACCGAGTGATGACGGTTCGAGGATCATTTTTGAGCAATAGTGATCAAATTATAGGACTATAATTGTGCGATAATAGTTAAATTGTGATGGCAATGTTCTAACTGTGGTCCAAAGGTGATGATTGGAGGGTTGTTAAATGACAACGATTGAGAGATGGTCTAATGGTGGAAATCAAGCTAAGGTTTAATGATAGGGGTAGGGCGGTGACCCAACAGTAATACTCGGGTGATGATCTAGGATTTTTTATGCCTATGAGCTTGCTTAAATCTCAAACCAAGATATCAACCCCTAACATGTAGAGAGAGCGAGTTTATTTATATTTTTAAGAGTATCATACATATAAATATAATTAAAATTGAGAACATTATATCGAATGGCCCGAACGGGTTCCCTTAATCATATACCACATTTTAATACTTAAATGCCTTAATGATGTAAGAATTATATAGTTTGTTGTTTGTTTTATTGAGGTACTCAATTTGACTAAATCATGTGAGATTTGGAGATCGTTTAGTACTTCTGTTAATATACCAAAATTTTTAATTACACTTCATATGCTTAATTTGAGCTCATTTAAAATACAATCAGATCATTTTTTATGTCAATTGTATAATCTTATTGACACATCTATTTTGATTATAAGTTTGCTAAAATTAGAGTTCATATTTCCTTGAATTTAATTTCAAAAGTTTTTAATTTAAATAAACCTCAAGATTCATACTTGATCAAGTGATTTTTCACTTTCTAAGATTTTTAATGCTATATTTTTAACCAAGCTTTTTATTTCTACTCAAGTTGGTAATAAGAAATATTGTCTTCCATAGATTATTAATGTAATAACCTTAATTGTTGTACGATTAATAATATATTAAATGACATGACAGTAATCTTAAATTAAAAATTATATGTCTAAAAAATATGTTTAGGGGTATTGTAGCATCGTTCTCACGAGTGCAGTGGGGTCGCCCTCTTTGTTAGAGAGTATTGGATTGAGTGGTGCAATAGCGCTAAATATGGCACTGCGGTGTCGACTTGTGGGGTTTGAAGTTTTTGGGGTCAGTGCTGTGATCATGAGCATTATGGCGTTGGAGCATTGAATTAGTTTTTTAAATCATCTTTTTCTTTTATCTAATACAAACACCCTGAGCTATCCCTCACGCCTCACTCTGA